GGTTTTATTTTTGGAAAAGTACTTGTAAACATCCCCCCCCCAATTCATTATGGATTATTTCCCAATACTCTTTTACCCTTTTACAAGTCCACCCCATATGTTTCTTCTGCCTTCTTTTTCTAGAGGAGGGGAGTGATGGAGAAATTTCAGCTCAATTCTCGCTGCAGGTTAAGTGCTGCGGGAGAGAGAAGAGCACTTGAAAGAAGAAGTGAAAGCAGTGCCATGAATTTTCTATTTTTAGCATTCAGTTTGCATTGGTTCATTTATATTTAAATTTGATGACAAGGTGGGCAGAGTGTTCTTGTGCTCATGTCCAGTTTACAGGCTTCCCACAGGGACCTGGTCAGCCACTGTGAGGACAGGACATTAGTCTAGATGTGCCATTGTCAGTTGCTGTTCATATCAAGTCATCATATCAAGTTATATAGTTATAGTTCCCCCCATTTCTACTATTTACAATTGAATGCCAATCATTATGTAGCCAAAATGGCAACAGCTGTGCAGCTGACACCTCATGGGAGATATCAGCAGTCCTGTGGGGAATCCCAAGATCTGCATGGGACGCGGGTGGTGCTATGGTCTAAACCACTGAGCCTCTTGGGCTTGCCAATCAGAAGGTCAGCAGTTCGAATCCCCAGGACGGAATGAGCTCCCGTTGCTCTGTCTCAGCTCCTGCCAACCTAGCAGTTCGAAAGCACACCAGTGCAAGTAGATAAATAAATACTGCTGCGGCGGGAAGGTAAATGGTGTTTTCGTGTGCTCTGGCACTCATCACAGTCCTCTGTGTACCAGTAGCGGTTTAGTCTTGCTGGCCACATGACCCAGAAAGCTGTCTATAGACAAGCGCTGGCTCTCCTGGCCTGAATCGAGATGAGCACTGCAACCCCATAGTCACCTTTGGCTGGACTTAACCATCCAGGGGTCCTTTACCTTTTATTATCCTGAGATCTGCAGAAGTACAAAAGCACTTAGGCAGGGGGCCTAAGCAGGGCAGCTCAAAACAATCCAGGAAGGACTGAGCATGCTCAACGGGCACAGAATGTTGAGTGGCTGTTGGGGAAGAAAAGGGAAAACCAGGGAGGGAGAATGGAAGGACTGGAAACATCAACAGGAAAACTCCATGCTGCAACATTTTGTTGCAACTTCCACTTGCCAAGTGTCTAGAACCCAGTATGGGTGCAGATGTTTGCCGTGCTTCAAAAACTTTCAGGGACGATGACATGTTTGCATGAGGAAAGCGAAAACACCACTCTCTTAATACCGTTGGCTTTCTGGAAATATCATCTCTTTTGCCAGCCTGAAAGCACTGTGTGTGTGTCTTTTAGAAGGGTTTGGAAGAGGTGGGGTGGGGGAGGAGAACCGAAAACCTTTCTAGAAAATTGCACTTTTAATTATGCCTTCCACACGGGCTCTTTGCTTTAATAACACTGAAAATGAAGTAGCAAATCCTCTACTCCCAGGGTAAGCGTTCTTTGGAAAAAGATAATGAAATCTTTTAATACCCACAATGGGAAGCTCTGCCTTCCTGGGTCTTGTTGTGGACCAGACGGCTGCACTTCAAGGCAAGATTCACTAGGAGCTTACTGCTCCCTGTGCTTTAACTCACAGGTGACCCTTGGTCTGGGGTGGAAAGCACAGTTGCTCTCTCCAAGAGAGAGAGAGAGAGAGAGAGAGAGAGAGAGAGAGAGAGAGAGGATGGACAGATGGATGAGAAAGAGAGGGAGTGTCCCACCCACTTATTGGAAAATAGGCTAGTTTCTACACACCCTGGAATGAACAAAGTCTGCTGAATCAGTTACAAAATCTCTGAGCTGCGCCTGAAAGTAGTTCCTAAAATCAGGAGGGGAAGTGAATGAGAATTAAGTTCATTTTGGAGTAGAATGTTGATCAATTTCTAGTTCATCTTCAGGTTCATTCTCTTACATGTCTGTTTTACTCATTAGACTCTTTGTGCCTCAAACATAAAGATCGTCGGTGTTGAGAAAAATTAATTAAACAATTCACAGTTTGCTGCATTTTGTTGTTTTCTTAATCTTCTCAAGTACATTATATTTTTTAGTGAAGCGGCTTGTAAAAGACTGAATTCAGGTGTGGTTTTGTTTTTGTCAAGCATCATAGAATCGTAGAATTGCAAACTGACACCAAGGGTCATCTAGTCCAACCTCTTGCAATGCAGAATTCCTGACCAATGGCCACCCAACCTCTGTTTAAAGACCTCCAAAGAAGGAGAGTCCACTCCCTTCTGAGGTCATCCACTCCACTGTTGAACAGCTCTTACTGTCAGAAAGTTCTTCTTAAGGTTTCGCCAGAATCTCCTTTCTTGGGTCATTTGGATTAACATGAACTGAACTGTAAACAAACCAAATATTTTGTAATGGGATGGACATGAACCAGAGTTGGTTCCTTTTTGAACAACGATGAACTAGAACTAGTTCCTTTTTTAAAAAATAAACTTTCCAAGTGCTGCCCATCCCCCTCTGATCTCCCTCCAGTCAAGCAAGAGTCAGGATTGGAGTTCAAAGACACATTCCAGTCAGGCAAAAAACACACATTTGGGATGGTGGTGTGAGGAGTGACACAGATGAGACTGTCAGGAGTGCGTGCAGGAGCCAGGCCCTGTGACCAGTAGGACTTTGCAGGACTGGGGCCTTCCTAAGTTTGTTCTGGAGAGGCAAGGCCACACGGTAACTCACAGCACCTGGTGGCAAGAGCCGGGAAGGGATATAAGGTCAGCATTTCTCTTCGGCTCTTTGCCACAGCAACACATTTCCTGCCTTGCTGCGTTTGGCTTCTTGCTTCCTGACCCTCGGACCTCGGCTTCTTGACTCCCTGCTTCTCAACCCTCGGACCCTTGATTTTGTGACTCCTTGCTTCCTGACCCTCGGACCCCTGGCTTCTGGACTCTCGTTCCTGCTCCCACCCCACCATCTTGCCCCTGGTCCTGACATCCCCAGCCAGGACTTCAATTGCCCGTAGACTGGACCGTGACAGTGACTCCCAGAGGCAACATAGACAGTCCTTCAACACTTCCTTTCAGCATCACTGGCTATTCTCCTGAGTCCTCCCTCCTCGGCTGCTCAGCAGCCTTGCCCAGCTAAGATTCCCAAGCTCTCCCCCTCCCCAAACTGACTCTGGCCCATCCTTTTTTAAAACCCTAAATAGAGACGTCTCTGGCAGGTCTTTGCATCCTGTATAGCCCTCCACCAGTTCTGGCACGATTCACGTTTGGTCTCCTACCACACACTCGGCACGCTTAGCGCCTCCATTTGGAGCGCAATCAGGAATTAGTCTCGGTTTGTTGCCCTGCCGAGAAATAAATTTCCTGCCACCTCCAGATAAAGAGGCCTCGTTGAGAAGTAATCAGGAGCAGGAAGCTTGGAGACCGTGCTTTCGGATGACACCATTAGTTCGGCAGAGGCAATGGGAAGTTTGCTTATAAAGCGAAGGACACCAGAGTCGGGAAACGCCTTTGTTTGTTTACTGATTATTATACCCTCCCAATTAAAATCTGTACTAAAGCATGAAAGAGGGATATGCAGGCACAGTAGGCGTAGATGAATCCATCTATTTCTGGTGTATGTCATTTCCAAATATGTCTCAGTGGAGACTGGTATATTGGATTTCCCCATGAAGTGGAATTCCTGTTAGGCTATTATTTGTGAGGCCAGGGTCATGTGACCATAAGACTGGTAAGAATCAGTAAAACGGAACATTAATAGTTGACTATTAAAGTGAAAAACAGATCCCTCCAAGGTACAAGGAGGGTTTTGACATATATAGGAGATAACAACAACTTTATTATTTATACCCCGCCCATCTGGTTGGGCTTCCCCAGCCACTCTAGGCAGCTCCCAACAGAATTTAAAAACAGAATAAAACTTCGAACATTAAAAACGTCCCTAAACAGGGCTGCCTTCAGATGTCTTCTAAAAGTCAGATAGTTGTTTATTTCCTTGACATCTGATGGGAGGGCATTCCACAGGGCGGGCGCCACTACCGAGAAGGCCCTCTGCCTGGTTCCCTGTAACCTCACTTCTTGCTGTGAGGGAACCACCAGAAGGCCCTCAGAGCTGGACTTCAGTGTCTGGGCTGAATGATGGGGGTGGAGACGCTCCTTCAGATATACTGGACCGAGGCCATTTAGGGCTTTAAAGGTCAGCACCAACACTTTGAATTGTGCTTGGAAATGTACTGGGAGCCAGTGTGGGTCTTTCAGGACCAGTGTTATATGGTCTCAGCAGCCACTCCCAGTCACCATTCTGGCTGCTGCCAGGTCACCTTCAAAGGTAGCCCCACGTAGAGTGCATTGCAGTAGTCCAAGGGGGAGATAACCAGAGCATGCACCACTCTGGAGAGACAGTCCGTGGGCAGGTAGGATCTCAGCCTGCGTACCAGATGGAGCTGGTAGACAGCTAAATGAGTTGAGTAAGTTGTATTTCATAGAGAGTTGGGGAAAAGCTGGAATAGTGCCAGGTGGTTTGGGTTTGATGCAGCAGAAAGATGACAGACCCCAAGGGAACTAAACCAAGGTAGGTAAACCTCAGGCTTGAGGGCCAAGTGGACATGTCAGGTCTCTCTGCCTGGCTGCAGGGACTCTCCCCAGGCCATACAACCTCCTCAGTGACACCTCATCCCCCCAGACCACACTGCTTTCCAGCTCCACTTTGCACCTCCCTTGAGTGTTTCCCCTGCAAACTGGAATATGTCCTTCAACTAATGCCTCTTCCTTGCATGGATGGAGGATAGAGAGCAGAGTGTGGGTAGAAACTACCCTACTCTAAAAGGTAAAATCCACACCCATTGCTCCACCCACCACTGGCATCAGGCCCTTCTAGAAGTTGTCCAGAAGGTGATGTGGCCCTGGGCTTGAAAAACATTCCCTGCTCCTGGTGTTTTGTGTGCATGAGACAATTTGAAAACATATCTTGCTCAGGTACACTGAAGTCCTAAAACCAAAGGCAGATCAAGCTCTCTGAACTTTGCAGTAAGCTAAGCTATAGGGACATAGCTCAGTGGCAGAGCTTCTGCCTTGCATACAGAAGGTGCTAGGTTCAATCCCTGGTATCTCCAGGTAGGACCCAGAAAACTTAGCTCAGTTGGTAGAGCACGAGGCTCTTCATCTCAGGATCATGGGTTTGAGCACCACTTTGGATAAAACCTTATGGGGGGCTGGACCCTCATGGTCCTTTCCAACTCTATGGCTCCTGCCTGAAATTTCTGGAGATCTGCTAGCAGTCAGTGTAGACAACACTCAACTAGATGGACCAATGGCCTGACCTGGTAACGAGGCCACTTCTCATGTTTCTTTCTTCATTTGGCTGGTACGACATTGAGATTTTATACACAAGCTCAGGCACACACGCAAATGGAAAATCCCCCAACAGTAAATACATCAAATGTTAATCCCCTTTCATTGGAGCAGGAAGAGCAATTCAGCTTTAGTAACTGGAGTTAATTTCCACTTGACTTTCCTCTCCTCTGAAGCATTATCTTTTTCATTTGTCATCAGCAGCGATGCTGTGGGTTGAATTTTTGTCCAGATGCAAGAGGAGCTCGAAGGTGTCTCCCCTGCTCGCTCCATATTTCTAGGAGGCATTTAGGGATGGTAGTGAGGGTCCCTGATCAGAAAGCACATGTGTTTGGCGTTGGTCAGTTATGCTCTGGAAACAATTTTTCTTTGCTTGTGGAACCAAAGACCATTTCAGGGCTCAGGCCAGTATTTGTAGTTGCTGTAACTGCAGGAGTGGGGAGTCACAGTGTCACGGTCCAGTTCACGGGCGATCAAAGTCCTGGCTGGGGACGTCGGGTCCGGGGGCAAGATGGCAGGGTGGGAGCAGGAACGAGAGTTCAGAAGCCAGGAGTCAAGAAGCCAAGAGTCCGAGGATCAGAGAGCCGAGAGTCAAGAAGCCAAGGGTCCAAGGGTCAGGAAGCAAAGAGTTACAAAGTCAGGGGTGCGAAGATCAAGAAGCAAGGAGTCACCAAGTCAAGGGTCTGGGGATCAAGAAGCAAGGGGTCAAGGAGCCAAACGCAGCAAGGCAGGGAATGTGTTGCTGTGGCAAAGAGCCAAAGGGAAACGCTGACCTTATATCCCTTCCTGGCTCTTGCCACCAGGTGCTGTGAGTTACCAATCGGCCTCACCTGTGTGGCCGTGCCTTGCCTTAGGAAGGCCCCAGGCCTGCAAAGTCTTACTGGTCACAGGGCCTGGCTCCTGCACACACTCCTGACACACAGGCCCTGGAGGAGAAATGTAGCCCTCCATACCTTTCTGTCTGGCCCTCTGAATTCTCCCCAGGCCAAACCCCCTCTTTCTACATGTCTCACTGGCCTACACTTCCTTGAGTGTTTTTGCCTTGCTGGAAGGAGTCCTTGAGTACTGATAGGTGCCAAACGAATTCCCCTGCTTTCCTTAGAACCACATCAGTGAGGCTGAGAGGGGAGTCTTGTCATCTGGGCAGCCCAGGACCTCCATACACTTTGGAAGTCAAAGAACTAGGTAAAGATAAGAAGGCTAAATGAAAGTATAAATATTTTTTAAATTTTTCTGCTCCTTTTTCTTTGTTTTCTTTTTTTTTTTTTTTTCTTTTTCCTTTCTTGTTATGGATATTGTCATTTCTGTTTGTTTTTTGTCATGGTTATTGTTGTTCTTTGTTTGTTGAATTTTTGTAATTCTGTATTTTTTGGAATTTTTATTGTAAAACCAATAAATATCTTATAAAAAAAAAAAAAAAGGACCTCCATACACTTTGCCTGGGCTTGCGTCCCAGAGAGGTTACTTCAGTGCTGCATAAACATAGCAAAAACTACGCCGGAAACAGCAGTTATGAGTTACCAGTCTCTGTAGCCACAGCAGGCACTGCGATTCTCCAGTGATTTGACTTCACCCCTGGAGGCGCACTCCATTGTCTCTCGAGGCAGACGGATGCTGACAAAAACCCCCGGTGTCCCCAAGCTACCACCACAAAAAGCTCTTGTGTTTTTTATTTGGAAAATCCTGCTGTTTGGAAGAATTTCAGTTTTAGGGATCAATCTTCCAAACATCTATTCAGCAAAGCAGAAATACCCCTCACACAAAAAAAGCAAAGAAGTTTTGCAAGGGTGAAATAATATCTCCTTTAAAAAGATTTCATCTGCAAGCAATGAGCAAGATGAGAAGCCCTGTGAACTTTAGATATGCCCTGCGCTGCTTGCATTTTAAAAGTCAAGCTACCAGCATGACTAAATTGCATGTTCTTGGGGGGAAATTTTTCAATTTCCAAATGCACTCCCCTGGTGCGTTTTGTGATGCACAACAGACTTTGACTCAAAAAGCCAAATTCATTGCTTCCTTGCAGGAGAGGCAATAAAACAGGCCTGGTTGCTTATTCTGACACTCGGATGTTCCATTATTCATGGAGAGCTTTTTGTTCTACGTCTTTGCAACCCGTTATCTTTAACTTGATTTGCAAAGCAGGGGCTTTCTTCTCTTTTGGGGGGCAGAGGCGGTACTGTACCTCACAGTCCCATCTTGATGAGACCTTCATTTTGCATCTCTTGCCACAGCAGGAGTTTTCCTGATTATTCTGCTGTAATTGAAATTGTGTCTTGAAAAGTCTCGGAAATGCCCTTTTCATGTATTATATTGACAGCGATCTTATTAAGACGTTAGATCAGCTCCTTCTTCGTTTAAAGGGGGGTGGGAGTGATAGTCAAGATTTTTTATTTTTATTTTTTTTGAAAAAAATCTTGCTGGAGAAACCGCACGTCGTAATTACAGCTTCTTTTGCATTATTTAACTTGCTGTCAAACCCCGGAGATTTGATGAGAGCACGTGTCAAAATAAGGCTCGGTTGCGTTTCCTGGCGAAGCCAAGATTCCTGAGCATGAAAACTTCCCATGGAACTCTAGTTGGCTCCACATCCCACAAGGGTGAGATAGGAGCTGAGCATCGCCTGCATGTAGCACCCAAAAGCAGGATCACTGAGTTCCATAATATGAGTTTCTCCAACAGCTAATCTTATCCTCCAATACAAGCTGAGAATGTCCCAAATTTTTGTCTTCAGCCTGGATTTTCATTCTGGGAATGGGAATATCAGGCCCAGGGACTGATTTCAACCTTCTAGGTCTGAGAAAATAGGGGGCTAGTACACGGCTGTAGTAGCTGTGTGAAATGGATGGTGACTGTATGGATTTTGTGTACATTGAAACACTGTATTACTCTTCCTTGTCATGGTTTCTGATTTTATTTTTTATATTATGCCAATGGATCTTGTTTTGTGTGTTTTTGTCAGGCGAACCATTTGCCACGGTTTTATTGCAGTTATTGTGTGTGCATTCACGTAGGTATTTATCCATTGTGTGCTGAATGACGCCGCCCTTGGGCCGCCCCACCTTGCTCCACCCCTGGCAGCAGCACATCTATTTGGCATGCCAAAGGTCCATGCTTCACCCCATGGCATCTCCTGGGTAGGGCAGGAATAGGCCCATGCCTGAAACCCTGGACAGCTGCTGCCAATTGGTGAAGACATTACTGAGTTTGAGGAATGAGAAGTCTGACTCTGGATAAGGCAGCTTGCGATGCAGTTCCGCTCCTTTAAATCCTACGGGCCCATGCCTGAGGAGCGGGGCACAATCAGAAACAGTCATTTGCCTTTTCAGCTTTGTAGGAAAGCTTCCCTTGCTGGTCTCGGGAGCCGTCCTGAAGTCCTCCTGCTTACCAATCTCTGCTGCCTGCTGCTAATGGCTTTGTACTCTAGGCCGGAGTCTGTGGACCTTGTCCATCCTCCCTCAGGTTCTCTGATCCTGGCTGGAAAGGTACAAGAGGCAGGGGCAGATAACCCACGTAGGCACTCGCTTGGGCTCCCATCCCTTCGTTTGTGAGACCACAACTGATCAATAAAAGCAATAAAGCCTCCCCCTGCTGCTGCCAGAATATGAGAATATGAATATGAGAATGACAGCGTTTCTTCCTCCCCCTTTCCAAAGCTTAGAAGGAAGGCAGAAGCACTTATACATCCCCGGCAATTTAAAAGTTCCGTGTTGAGCGGGAGGGCTGGATAGAGTGGCGAACTTCTTCTTGATTGCCTGTAGAAAACAAGGTATCGTTGTTTTGGCCCGATGCCTGAAAATTGGCTAACAGACCTAAAAGACTCCTGTGCATCAGAGCTCTTGACCAGATTGCCTGGAACATTTCACAGTTGACAGGTTCTACAAAGGGGTTGGGTGGGAGGCATGTTCACAGGGCCGTCTTTACCCAGGGGTGCAAGGGGTGCTGTGCCCCTGGGAGCCAAATTCTGGGGGTTGCCAGGCACCCGCCACTGAAGCCGCCTAAGCTCTTAACTATCTACCTCTGGGATGTCCAACTGGTTGACCACGATCTCTGGGTCATTTCTGTTCGCTTTTGTGGAAGAGCTGCAGAATCAATGTATCCAGCAGAGCCCCGTAGTGGTGTCTTTCATTTTCGCATGATCGCAAAAACGGAAGACAGAGTCTTCACTGCAGCTTTTTTCCCCCATGTCAGCGATTTTCACTGCTCCCCTCCTTAAAAGCTCAACAACTTTGACCTCCCCCCCCCCCGGGATATTTGCACCCCGACGGCATATATGCTAAAGACGACCCTGCTTGTTCAGCCATGTAATGAGCAGGGACGGACAAGTTGGTCAAAGGGCAGGGCGTATGTCTTAAGCAACAGTGTGGTGTATTGGTTAGAGATTGGAACTTCAGGCCCAGAGGTCAACTATGGACTTATAGGCTTCTTTATCCTGAAATACCTACATTGGCTCCCAGTACATTTCCAAGCAGAATTCAAAGTGTTGGTGCTGACCTTTAAATCCCTAAATGGATTTGGCCCAGTATACCTGAAGGAGAGTCTCCACCCCCATCATCCAGCCTGGACACTGAGGTCCAGCGCCAAGGGCCTTCTGGTGGTACCCTCACTGCGAGAAGCCAAGTTACAGGGAACCAGGCAGAGGGCCTTCTCGGTAGTGGCACCCGCCCTGTGGAACGCCCTCCCATCAGATGTCAAGGAAATAAACAACAATCTGACATTTAGAAGACAGCTGAAGGCAGCCCTGTTTAGGGAAGTTTTTAATGTT